GTATTTATTATTATTAACTTTTAAAATTAAAGCCATTAAATATAAAACTTAGAAAGTTTATATATATTAGCTGCCTTATATAGTTTCTTTTTTTATTATAAAGGATATTTATTATATATAAGTAATACTTTTAAGTTAATATATTGCTTATTAATATTTTCTTTAATATTAACTTTTTTCTTTTAAAGGAATTTCTTAAAGTTTTAAATAATAATTAACTTTTTAAATATTATTATATTTTAAAAAGTAAAGTTTTTTATAAAGTATTAAAGTAAATTATTATTTATATCTTAATATTTTATTATTTCCTTTATAAATTTAAAAATAATAGCATTTACTTAATTAATTATGCTATTTACTTTTATTATTAATTTATCTTAATAGTTAAAATTAATTTATTAGCTTTAAAATCTTTTATTAAAATTAAAAAATAATTAAAGTTTTTATATAAAAGTATTATTAATATTTAAAGGTATTTTTTTAGCATTATTATTAAATTTAGCTATTTTATTAAGCTATTAAAATGTTTAAGTAATTTATATATAGGGAAAAAGAAAGAAGTTAATTAAGGGAATATATTAAGATTATTTTAAAGCATAGAAAAGAAGTATTAATTATGCAATAAAAGAGTGTTTATTAAAGAATGTTTATTAACTTAAGTAAATATAAATTATTATTTATATTAAAATAAAATAATTAAAGGCACTTTTAATATTAATTATATAATAAAATGCATTATATAATTAATAAATTTAAGATATTATTAAGGATTTATTAATTAATAAATTAAATTTTTATAATAAAAAAATTAAAGCATTATTAATTTTTTTTTATTAATTTTAATTATAACATAGCTATTAATACTTAATTAAGTAAGGTTTTATTATTAATAATTGCTTATTTTTATAATATTAATATTAATTATTTAATATAAATATTATAACTTAATTATAATAATTCTTATTATTAATAATTGCCGCTTAATTAATAATAATATAAATTTATTATTAGCTTATTTTATTATTTATAATTATTTATAAGTAATTATTAATTAATATTAGCTAGGTTAATATATGTTTATTAATAATAAATTAATTATATTTAAATTAATTATATTAAAAGAAGGAAGGTTGTAGTTATAAGTTATAAAACCTCCCTTTAATTATAAATTATTTAAGAGTAATTACGTATTGCTATATATAACCCTTTCTTGCTAGTGTTTTAATGCTAATTACTTATCATGCTTATTATGCTTAATGCTGCTATTCCTTTATAACATATTTATAATTATAATATAATAATTAAAATTTAATAATTAAAAATCTTATTACCTTAAGTTATAGCTATTTTTAAAGGTTTAAGGTTTAATTTCTTAATATACTTAAAAAATATAATTTTTAAAGTTATAAAAACTTTTTATAAATAAATAAATAAAAATAAATAATTAATTTAATTAATTTTACTTTAACTTATATTATTTATTATATTTATTAATTAAAAAGCTTTATAATAATATATTTTTATAAAGTTAAAGTTAATATATATTTTTATAAATAAGGGTTAAAAAGTTATATATAAATATATAAAAAGTTTTTAAATTTATATATTTTTAATCTTATAAAAATAAATTTTTTAAAGTTATTAAATAAATAAATATAATATATAATATAAAATAAAATATAATTAATTTATTTATAAAGTTAAAAATAATTTTAAAAAGATTATATATAAATATAATTATAACTTTAATAATTTTTTAAGTATTATAATATTAATTTATTAAAATAAAAAATAAATTATTAAAAAAATAAATTTATAAATTAAATAAATTAATATTAATTATAAAGAAAATACTAAAAATAAAATATTAAAAAAATATTATAAGTTTTTAAAAAATATATATTATTTAATAATTTATAATTTTATAAATATTTTAAAAGGCTTTAAAAATATTAATTATTAAATAAAAAAGTTAAATAAAATATATTAAATTTAATAATAATATTTTAAAAAAGTTATAATTAAAAATTATAATTAATTTTTTATTTAATTATAAGTTAATTAAGCAATTAAATAATTATTAATTAATAATTATTATTAATAAAATTAATTATTATATATTTTTAAATTTAAGTAATATATAAGTATATTATGTTTATTATTATCTTTATATTTTATAAAATAAAGGGAATTTTTTAAAAGGAGAAAAAAAGGAAGAAGCTTAATTAATTCTCTTATTTAATATTTTATTTACATTAAAATTATTAAATAAAAATATAATAAAATTAAAGAGTATTTAAAGGGCATCTTTATTGCTCTTATATAAAGTAGTATTTTAATTATAATTTTATATGTTACAATTTTAAATTTTTATTTAATGTATTTATTTCGCATTGCCCCACCAGCTACACAAATTACTAAGAAAGCTTAGGCCCCCAGAACTGGCGCGTTTGATGGACACCTGAACTTTTGAGATGAGGGGCCGACGGGGCTCATCCTCATCGGCGTCTCGGGATAGGGCAAAACGCGCATCCAGTCGAGAGTGAGACAGCACCATTGTACGGGCTATGTCCATTTTTACACATTGCAGCAGCACAGATTTCCTTGACACATCGTAGATCACAGCAGTGCCAGGGCCGCCTCGGCGTCCGTGTGTGCGCTCAGCCACCAGAATCAGAAGCATGTTGGTTTGCTCACGGGTGCGGACGCGGGTAGGCTGGCACGCGGACAGGGCCCACCAGGTCAGAGGGGTCGGGGAGCCCGACGCAACCATCCCAACCTACCCGAAGGCAGGGCCGGATCGAGAATCGAGGGAGCGTCAGCCCGGCGTGGCGTCAGCTCTGCATGATGCAACAAAGACCGGCTTGACGGTCACGGGTTGATGGGACGGCCGGGGGGCGAGTGAATGCGAGCGTGAGTGCGAGTTTGAGAAGATGAGAGAAAGAAGGAGACAAAGATAGCCAGATGTTCGGACGAGTGAGAGAAGGCTGATTGAATGATGGATCGTGGGGTTCGGCCGGGACTAAGCAAGACCAGCTGGGTGTGCGCTGAGGCCCCCCAGCCAGCCTCCGAGTTGGTACCTCTTGTGCGGTATTGTGGATGCAGGTGGGTGGGCAATAAGGTTATCTTGCCCCCATCCGCCGTGCCCCTCGTTCGCCCTTTCCCCATACTCGCGTTTGGCCACGGTACACTACGGCAGTACGGTAGCTTCGGGCGTGGAGGCATTCCGTCATTCTTGCACGGCTCCATAATTCTCTTGCCCTTGTCGATCTCATCTTGAACGACCCACGGACGTTTTTCCCCAACTCCACAGCCTGACGGGGCAGTGACAATTGACAGGGAGGGAAAAAAGGGAAGGAAAGAAAAAGGTGAAGGAAAGAAAAGCCGTACCTGTGACAATTGCTACAACAGCCAAAATACCTCTGAACCAGGGGGGTTCGGCCAATTGATTGCGCATTCCTGGCTGCGGCTGGGAGGCTCACCCGACAAACGAGAAACCCTGCTTGGGCTCTGCCCCTGTCCTGCCCCTGCCCGTCAAGCCGCATCTGCACATGCTCCTGCACCTAGCCCGCGCCTAGCCTGCACCTGCATGGCAGCTCCCTCCCTTGTCTCGCCAAGCTGCAGCCATCGCCAACCTGCCCGCGCATTGTCCATTGTTCGATCCCCAAGGCAAAGAGAGGGTCTCAAGGGTCCCTATGTTCTGAGGGCCCGAGGCTGTCACCTACAACCCCAACTCGATCCCGGCCCCTACCATCCGCATGGTTGCTGTTATTACACTGCAGCAGCGACAGCCAGCGACAGCCAGCGACAGCAGGGAGACAAGAAACAAGAGGATCAGAGGCACTTGCGCACCACTCAGAATATCAGACTACGGAGACACACTACGGGCACACGCGCCGGAGATCCTCGTCGATCACTAGGGGTGAGACGCCTGCGGCGAATGCGACTACAACTGCGAACTGCGACCGCTCAGCACCGACTGCAACAACACGCGACACTCTGCCATCGCAAGTGAGCTGATTTGCCTCCCGAAAAGGGTGCATACTCCGGCGACTGGATTACCTCTCCGACTTCCAAGGTTGATCCGAACCACGGTTGGCACCGCGCCCGCTCGCTGGCTGCTCGTTGCCCCGTGCCCGTGCCCTCCCTGCTGCCGACCATTCGTGTTCCCTCATCCGGCCGGTCGCCCTGCCCCACCTAGATAGATACGTGCCACTCGAGCTTGACGCCCTCCCTCGACTCTCTCTGCGCTGCGCAGTGCTGTGCAGCCCTGTCCGGCAACGCGTCTCCTCGCCCTCGTCTCGTCTTGCTTGCCTGCTTGCTTGCTTGCAGCCAGGGAGGATTAGCGCCGGTTCTGTCTGGCCTGGCCGTCTGCGGTCCCTGACTTCTGAAATCTCCGGCTCCGCTCAACTCTGGTCCACTCCTTTCCTTCCTCGCTTCGACCAGGGAATTGGCCCTTCTTACCACCCCAACTGCCGTGTCGCAACACCCAGCGCCTCTCTTCCCCACCACAGCCGATATCAGCTGTCGGCCCTCCTGCCATTCCAGCCCTCAGCTCGGCCGGGTCGGGTCGAGTCGAGTCGAGCCGAGTCGAGATCGCAGAGTCCAGGGCACGCGCCCAAGGGTTTGAGGTCTCCAACCCCAGGCCGGGCACACAACAGCCTATCGGGCTATAACCGAGTCTTACAAGACACGGCCTCCGGCGGCACGACGTTATCATAACGCGGACGGCGACACAGACACAGCGCCGAAAGTGGGACCATCGATCAATCTCGACCCGGGCCACACCCTCTACCGGCCGCCACGCGCACACAGCAACAGCAACACCACCACCACCAAGGGACACCAATTCTCTCTCTGTCTCTTTCCCTCTCTGCCTCGCCCCAGGGTCTACATAAAGAGAGTTCGTCCCATCGTCGCGATCCCTTCGCCCAGGGCGTACGTGCCCTCAGCTGCGGCTCCTGCAGCCCTGCGCAAACCCGACAATTTGGTTCCGCGCGATGGCGGGCGAGGGGAAGTGGAAAGGCGTCGCCGGCGACGAGTCATCAACCTCGGCTGCAGTTGCGTCTGCGGCACCTCCGAAGCAGAAGCCTGCCCTGCAGGTCATTGTGTTGGTCAGTCGCCTCTTGTTTCCTCCTGTCGTTTACTCTTTGTTGCACAAGCTCGTACCACACCTAATCACAGTTGTGTGTGACCTCACCTCGCATGTTTAACCCCCCCTCCCTTTCCCCTCCAGCGGAACCGAATCTCGTCACATTTCACAGCACAATTTCCACTCTCGCGGTATCCTTGCGCCCGCCCATCAGAAACTTTGTCTGCCGCCGGCGCGCCCTCCCAGTCACCCATCGCTTCCAACGGTTTTCTAGAAGCCCACCCAAAACCAACTTTGGGCTTGCGACATGCTCTGCCCTATCATGTTTGCTGCGATTTGACTTGGATGCATTCTCCTGGGCACAGACCAGCCTCCTCCCTGCAAACCCACCCTCAAAGTTGCAGTGGGAGCTTACTTGCAGTCGTTGCAGTTTCGGCGACTTCAGCAGAGACCAACACCACCCTTCAAAACCCACCACAGCCAAATCATTTACGTCCCCCTCCCTCCCCTTAGTCGAGTACACCGTTTCAGCACCATTACCTCCGATGTGTTGCTATTGGCCAAGTTGGCCCAGGTCGAATCTGGAGATCGACAGGTCTGCAGGCTGCCAGCGCAGTGACTTGTGGGCCACCCAAAACGCTTGGACATCTGGCCCGGGGGTCTGGTTCTCGGTGGATCTCCAATGGCCTTTCTCTCAGAGGAGAATCCATTTTTCTCTGACCTGCAGACCATTGTTTCCGAGCGCCCCTGCAGCCCTGTCGAGCCAAGCTGCAGATAGATCTAAGATCAGATCAGCCGTCCCCCACTCTCAGCCTCGCTTGGTCCTTAACCTGGCTGGTGCCTCCGAGTGGAGAGGCGAGTGCATCGTCCGGTTGCTTACTAGGACACACACCTCCAAGCCCGGTCGTCCGGTCCAGTCTGCTACACCAGTCGACGGCCTTTTTGTTTCCGGCACGCCGGCGCACCCAAACGGTGTGACACTATCATGTCCACCGCTCCGGTCTAGACAACCTGCTAACCCGTTACACAACAGGGCTCCCAGGGTGGGCCATTGGAATCCAACGTAACGGCGTTCCTCGTCCGTTCGATAGCATCGGGATGGAGGAAAGGTTCGGTAATGGCCGTCGACGCCGGCGTGCACCTTGGCGCCATAACGCGTATCCTTGAAGACACACAGCCTCCAGATTTAGGACAAACCGACGAGCTAGCATTACCATATGTTCTACAGAGCGGGCCCTTCTCGGGAATGACGCTGCATTCTGCGTCTGCGAAAGCAAATGCAGCCAAGATACACGCGGATCTGATAGACACCTACCTCATCACGCATCCTCACCTCGACCACATTTCAGCCTTTGTTATCAACACTGCTGGTTTGTTAGGACCAAGGCGAAAAAAGCTGGCCGGGTTGCCAGGGACAATACAAGCCCTGAAAACACATATTTTCAATAACGTAATATGGCCCAATCTCTCAGACGAGGACCACGGGGTTGGTCTCTTCACTTACTTGCGGCTGAACGAAGGAGGGTCTCCGGCCATGGGCAACGTCGATGGCTATCTGGAGTTTAATGAAGGCCTGGCTGTCAAGGTATGGAGTGTGAGCCACGGCCACAACATCGAGAAACATGCACCTCACCGCGGTAGCGGCAGCACACCAGATTCAACAGCGTCGACGCTTCATCCGGCTTGATGGGATTCGGCACTGGGATGCTCAGCCCGCGGTCGATAGCCCACCACAACACGAGCCCTAGCCTGGCGGCATTCTACCACCAGCAACCACATTTGATACCACACGACCGTGCGGGGTCCGTCATTCCAGGGTCCATTGCAATGGCTGGAAGAAGGGGCTCGGGGGCGATGAACCAGATAGGTGGCAGGCTCAGCCCGACAGAATTCGCCTGCGTGTATGACAGCAGCTCATACTTCATCCGGGATGTGGACACCGAGGTGGAGGTACTCATCTTTGGCGACGTCGAGAGCGACAGTGTGTCGATGAATCCGAGGAACCTGCGAATATGGCAAGAGGCAGCGCCGAAGGTCGCAACGGGGAAACTGAAAGCCATCCTCATCGAGTGCAGTTATGATGACAGCAGGCCTGCGGACCGACTATTCGGCCACCTGACGCCGAGCTTCTTGATGCAGGAAATGACGGTGCTTGCCGAGGAGGTCAAAGCTGTCCGGGTGCGCATGGCGATGGACAAGGAGAGGAAGGAGACAGACCCCAGGCGGGACAGCAGGAGGGGCAGCAAGCGGAAGCGCGAAGGATTGCATGACGAAGCCACGATAGCAGTTCGACGCCGGGCGTCGCGGGCGCTGGCGAGACACAGCTCTGACAGTGTCAATGAGCCAGTGAGCCCAAAGACGATGAAGATGCCCCGATCTGATTCGGGTCAGCGGAGCGTGTCAGTGGAAAGCCCGCATATCACGACCCCGACGGCCGAGCTGTCCTTGACGGACCTCCAGGGGCGGACGACATCGATCGCCGGCAGTACGAGCGCCCCTGCCACAAATCTCACGGCGGCGGAAACCCACCTGATCGAGGGGCCGCAGCTGGAGGGCTTGAAGGTGGTGATCATTCATGTCAAGGACAAGATGAACGACGACGAGAGGGTGGAGGACACCATCCTGGACGAGTTGCAGGAGCATGAGGCGTTCATGGACGTACCACTCGGGTGCGAGTGGGTCATCTCGGAGGTCGGTCAGAGCCTGGAGGTCTGACCTTGTTCTCCGGGGTGGTTCTTGTAGCTACGGCTGTGTGATGAGCTCTACGTCTCTTTTGTTTGGAAACCGTATAGTTGAGGATCGTGTTGTGTGTACTTTTTCAACCTGCCAGCAGCGCTCAAGGGAAAAAGTTATGGTTTTGGATCCCTGGACCGCTGATGTTGATCTCCGGAGGGAAGACGAATTTCGTTTGGCCGGTGTCAGGTGTTATCCGTGCTTGGGGCCGGCGGCAGGGGAGTAAGGGCGGCTTGTTTCGTTCTTGGGATCACGTATACGTAGAAGGAGGGAGGGAGATACCACGGGAATTCTATTTGTTTGATGTCTGTCCTTTGTCGATTCAAAAAGCCAACATGCCGTGCATCCTGCTTTCATGTTGCTTGTCTCTGGGACAAAAATTCGTTGAGCACGCCCTCCGTTGCGTGTGTGCGCATGTTCAAATCTTGGAAAGTCGATTTGTCTATGCTAGTCTCTGTAAAGCTATCGATCGATACGTTGTGAAGCATCTTGTGTATACATATATACCCTGAGGCCAATTCTATTATATCTTTCCATCGGCGTGGCTATCATCCTTGCCTCCCCTCTCCCCCTCAAGCTTCTCGTAACCCTCCGAGCCACCGAGGTTCTTTTCGAAATCGGGCCGGAGGAGCTCGAAGCCCTCGATCGTGCGGCCGTAGGTGATGCCGCCCAGTCTGCTTATCGGCCGGAGGACCTGTTTCCCAAGGAATCAGCCACCAAGAACCAAGCAGCAGGCATAACCCTCCCACATAGAATAGCGCAAGACTTACCGACGGGTCTATGAGGTTCCTGTCCTCGTTGATGGCGTCCTCGCGCACCCAGAACCTCGTGCCCTCGACGACGACCATGGTGGCGTTCTTGGTGCCGGGCTTGCTCCGGCTCTCGAACTCGCGCAGGCTCTCGAGCTTGGCCTCGACGGAGAAGACGGCCTCCCTCACGCGCGCGGGCTTGACGGTGTGGCAGTCGTAGGCGGGCGTCAGCCCCGAAACGGCCCACTCGGACGTGCCGTAGGGGGCGTTGACGCTGGTGCTGTTTGCGGCCTCGGCAAAGTGCTCGCTGATGATGTTGATGGTGCACTCGCGCGTCTCGGCGAGGTTGTGCAGGGTGTGCTTGGCGGCGGCGGCCCCCGCCAGCGAGGACGCGAAGCCGATGATGAAGAGGGGCGGGTCGTGGCTTATGACCTGGAAGTAGGAGAAGGGCGCGAGGTTGGTCGTCTTGCCGTCCGGGGAGACGGTCGACACGAAGGCGATGGGACGCGGCACCACGGCCGAGATCAGCAGCTTGTAGTTATTGACCGGCGCGCGGCCCTCGGCGAAGGGGTCGATCGTGATGTGCTGCTTGCGCTTCTGCTCCTCGCTGGCCAGGTCGTTTGCGCCGGAGCCGAACTCCCACGAGGACGAGGCCGTCTGCGTGAACTTGAAGCCCTCGGCGTCACGGTCCCAGGCTGGCCGCGAGCCCTCGACCTTCTTGAAGTCCGGGTGAGGGTTGCGCTTGATCTCGGACTCCTTCATCTTGAGGGCAGCGGCGGAGAAGGGTCGGTGTTGGTGTCGCGGAAGAGGGGACGAGGTGGTGGTGGTGGTAGACAGGCGTCGGAGGTGACTGAGGGGTCTGGTGGTTGTAAATCTGGGCTGCATCAAGTTTGTCAGTTCCAATTGAAGGGATTGGATCGCGGAACGAAAGCTTGTTCGCGCATCTGGGAGCGCGCGAAGCCGAAGATATCCATCTCGTCACCACCCCGCGCTCTCTCGCTCGGCCCAGGGCGTCGGGAAGCTCCCCCACCCCCCACTGTCGGCAGTGATGATGCAATGCTCAACGCCTTGGCTGTTAGCTCTGGCCGTGCGGAATTAGCAAGCGACTCCCCCGGCGATACCCGCCACCCGCTAGGCCTGGGATACCCGGCCGGATATGGGCACAATCGGAACGTCCCCCAAATGATCACCACGAGATGGCTTTGGCGATAGTTGGCCTTTTTAAGATGCTGCTTGTCCTTGTAACCTGGAATTAGTTTAGAGGAAAACTCTCCGATGACCTTGTATTCACAGGAACCATTCAGATGTCTTGCGAAACGAAGTGTCTCGATTTACGGCCGAGCGAGTCACTGTTGGAAATGGAGCGATCACCGGCATAATTGTCTAGGCAAATTGTACTATTTACCAAATTTGATTCTAATTATAGAAGGACTATGGAAATCAGGTAATATGTCGCTCTGAGGTGTTACACCTGGTGCAAAGAGAGTCACGCCTGTCTTGGAAGGCTGGTGATCTGCCTGTAACAAGCTTTGGGGCCAGCGAGGTCTGGCACCATGTGGTCTGATGTCTTGAGTTCCGATGTCGAGATTGTTGAAACAAATCCATGCTCATAATCACTGTGCTGTATGCCGTATTCCCATTCGTAACCCTCGCGTTCATAAACATCGCGAACCACTCGGTAGTTCTTTGCCAAGCGACGGCCAAAGCCTTCCTCGATACCAACTGGCGCTCGTGTTAGTTTGGTCCGAAACATGCCTATACTCTGTGTATGGCTAGTGGCGGAGATCAAGCACTCACAAATACTGAAGTAAACGAACTTTCCCAATGTTGGGACCCAGACCATGACCGAAATAAGTTGACCGTAGTTGAAGTTGCCGAAATGCATCAAGTCGATAGAGAGTCCCATGATCAACACCTCTGTGAAATATGAGATGACGAAAGCAAGTAGGGCAGTCTGGATACCAAACCACCAGAATTCCCGGAAGCAAGGCCAGAGGTGATTTCTCAGCACCAGAAACAGAAGCCCGCGTAGCTTGTGCCTATCTGCCGCCAGACTGACTGTGGAAAGATGGAAGTTGATGAAGTTTCGGACTCGCGGAATGACCAAAACCATATCAATGAGCAAGGACACAACGGCAATGTGAACAAAGGCTAGTGCCACTCCGGTCCCTTTCCAGTCCTCATATCTAGCATTGTAATTGTCCGTGTTGCAGTAAGTCATCGGATTCGGAAGACCTCCACAAGCTTCCACGAGGCTCGCTTCTTTGAAGTTCTGCCATAGAGTTTCAAAACTCGCCACGCGCGACATGCTGGGAGCCCGGACGACCTTGGCCAGCAAGACCGTTGTTGAGGTCAGACCAAAGCTGTACCACCACAGCATACCTTCCCGCTGAAGAATGCACTGGGTTAGGATCACTGGCAGGATGCTGTTCACGGCCAAGATCTGGACCATCTGAGCGTTGAGCAGAACCTCAGCAAAGGAGTTGGATCCGGAGGACGACCGTCCCTCGATCTGAGATGTGGCTAAAGTAGCGATTTGGATTGCAATGACGAAGAATGCCTGGACTTCTTGGAATTCCACCAACGATGTTATAGTCGCCGCGTTTAGACGTGACTGCGCCAGTCGGTTTTGTAAAATAGTGGCCCTTGTCCATGCGCTTGGTCGTCGCGGCACAAATATCTTCCTCAAAAGAGCGATGAGAGGCCATGAGGCTATGCGACTCCAGGAGTTGAAAATCTTGAGTATCAAAAATAGGAATAGGGCGACGCTGGTCTGTAAGAGATAAGACAGCATGACCTGAAATTAATATGAATCAGCCTGCCCATCCTGAACCTTTCAGATCGGAGCCCTGCAAACAAGCACTTACCCCTGGCCCAGCGACATCGGGGTTGAGCTTGGCCTCAACATCGTCGCAAAAATGTTCGAGGCTCTGGGATATGTCTTGCAGGTTCTCTAGATTTACAGTGATGGCACTCAGTGCACGCACGGAGGGCGGACAAGTCCCGATCGAGTACAGGATGACACCACACATTGAACGACATCATTGAGTATCTTGGTGCCATCCCAAGCAGTCAGATCCCCGATGCCGAAAGAATCGACCACACTGTTGGTATCACTCGACTGGTCTATCTCGAATGTCCCATCTCGTATCAGAATAGCGACCGTGGCCAGCTGCATACAGGCTTCCAGTTTAAATGGCAAGAAGAGCGTGCTTGGTTCATGGCAAGTATCGAAACAAGTGCGGTGCTCACGTTGGCGATCCAGATATGCATCATAGCTCTTTGCACAACTGCCACTGATGATGGTAAAGATCAAAGTTGTTTGGTGCACGACCTCCAGGGTATTATTGATTCCGTTGTTTGCCACGCAGTCCGATGGCTGCGTGGCAATATCGTTCGAGAACCCCAACGTGCCATTGATTCCGTTGTGTGCCGCGATGTTCAATGGCTCCGTGACAGCCTCGAAATCGGTCAACTATGCTGGATCACGGTGGTAACCTGACTCTGGTGTATAGAAACCCGGTGTTTCTTCGCACAGCTTGAAGGGTACTGTCGCATTTGTCACTGACATGTTGGCGAAGAGTGAGATGCCAAGAAAGGCGATTGCAACGCGGGAGCAGAACATCGGTCTTTCAAGTTAGAACAGCCTCTGGTGGATGTTGGCTTCAAAGAAGTGGCCTTGCTGAAGATTGATTATCTGGAACTGGATACAACGGCTCCATCAGCTTCGATGCACGAAAAATGGATGTCTGGGATTAGGGAATCATTTATCTTCTATGGACAGACACGCGTTGCTATTTCTTGCCGTGGACTTCACCTTGCAGCTAAGCCATCGCTGTTGTGTAAACTAACGCCCTGCGGCTGTGTTTCTAGTCGGAGGTTGTGGAAACCAAGCAGCTGTTTCCGTTGGTGTCGGTAGATTGGGTTCCTAGCATCTGGCCCCCGAACATAGCCACTGTGCCCGACGAGTGCAGCTCCAGGAATAAGTGGACGTCATTGCACCCTTGAGGGTGGGAAGATTGCAGTGAACTCCACTGCCGGGCTCCTCCAACTCGATCACTTTGCCGAGACATGAACGCACTCTGGCGGACAAGGAGACCTGGTACTGTAGGCGCGTTGTCCCACAAAATCTTCAACCGCGCGATTTCCAATGCCGTCTTGTATCTCTCGTTTACACACCTCATGTTAAAGACAATTTCGCTTCTATCAGCTCCATCAACTTGCCAAAACTGAAGCCCCATCGACTGTTGCTGCCGGTGATGCATGATAGCATGTGGCCGGGCATCATTGTTGATAGCTCGATAGGATAGGGTTGCCAGGCGGCTGTTTTGGAGATGCTTATCCGTCATGTGCGCTGCGTGCCAGTGTCGCATTGGCTTGATCTGATCGGCACGACGCTACTAGATCCAGGTGGTGGTGACACGACGCTTATGTTTTTAATTGAGCCTTTGTCTCGAAAACTTCCTGCCCGGATCCGATCTCACAATTCCCTCACGACTCCTCAATAGGATTGGGCAAACAAACCATCAACATGGCAGCAACGGGCAACAATGGCGCCAGTCATCACGGAGACACTGACGAAACCCAGGTGCCGGGGACTGTCCAGCTCATCGACATCGATGAGCACTTGGCGACTCGGCATGCCAGGGGACAAAAGGATATCATCTTGGTGCCAACACCGTCTGCGGATCCTGAGGATCCCTTGAACTGGTCGCCAGGAAGGAAACGGCTTGCCCTGACTTGCGTTATGCTGTAAGTTTCCAGACGTCATGGCCTTTGCTGTGACCTAGAATAGCTCAAAATGCTAATGCTTGCAGATACACCTGGTTCCCGGGCATGGCCTTGTCCGTAGTTTACTCAGTACTCGTTCCACTGTCCACGGCGCTGGACGTGAGTATTGCCAATCTCAACGCCGGAACTGGCTATTTCTTCCTTTTATGCGGATGGGGCCTGCTCTTCTGGCAGCCTTTTGCTTTGCAATACGGCAAGAGGATCACGTATCTTATTTCAACCGTCGCCATGGTTGTAAGTTCATGCCTTTGCGTCCCATTGTAACGAATTAAGCTGAATAAATACAGGCCATCAGCGTCTGGAGCCCGTATGCTAGAGGCAACGGCCAGTGGATCGCGCGGAACATCGTGATAGGGTTCTTCGCGGCTCCCATCGAGGCCCTTCCGGAGACTTCGATCACAGACCTCTACTTTGCCCACGAACGAGGGACATACATGGGTTGGTATGCATGGATGCTAGCGAACAGCAATTTCTTTGCCCCAGTAATCACGGGGTTTATCAACGACGGCATCGGCTACAAGTGGTGCTTCTTCATTCACGCCGTCTTTTGTGCCGCCGTCTCCGTGTTTCTGTTCTTCTTCCTCGAGGAGACCAACTATGATAGGAAAACTGTTGGTGTCATAGAAGGGGTCCAGACATCGACTGCCAGCGATCCTGAGACCGTAAGCCCAACGAGCGAAAGCAAATCGTCTCCAGAGAAGAGCCTCGGAACAGATGTCCCCCAGAGTCCAACTGCGATACCAAACACTGCGTACCAGCGCAAGACGTACCGACAGAAGCTCGCTCTGTGGGACAAGCCTCGCCCTTTTATGATGGGCTGGCGCGCCGTACAAATCCTCAAGTTACTGTCTTGGCCTGTCATCTTTTACGCCGGATTCTCCTATGGGACGTACCTAGTGTGGTTCAATATCCTGAACGCTACTGCCTCACTCATCCTCGGAGGTGAGCCTTACAAATTCACTCCCGCAATTGTTGGCTTATCCTACCTGGCTTGTATCATCGGAGTCACTGTCGCCTCTTTATTCTCTGGCGTCTTCTCCGACTGGTTCGTCATCCGCCTGGCACGGCGGAACGGTGGCGTCTTCGAGCCTGAGCAAAGACTCTGGCTGTTCGCAGCAGCCACGATTATACTCCCTGCCGGATCGATCCTATGGGGAGTTGGCGCAGCGCACGGTGTGCACTGGTTTGGGCTACTGTTCGCCATGTTCATGATATCGATTTGTAACGGAATGGGGGTGACCCTATCACTCGCGTACCTGGTTGACTCTTACCGTGACCTGTCAGGTGATGCGCTGGCGACTTGCATACTGATTCGCAACACGATGAGCTTTGCGATTGGGTATGGAATTACGCCGTGGTTGGAAGCCTTGGGTTATCAGAATTGTTTCATCAGTGTGGCATTTGTTGGACTGGGAGTATGTTCCGTTTTTCTGGTCATGATCAAGTACGGGAAATCTGCCAGAGAACGGAAACGAGCCCAATATTGGCGTGAGGTCAGAGTCAGGATTGAGAAAGGCCTTGTCCATTGACTGATTATATGCGTACGATGCTGTCCTGCAGTAATACTGGATTAAGGTTATGGCAAGTTGAGCTCGTACTATCTGACCTTGTAAAATGAGAGGTTTCAACGTTTACATTAAGCCTGAGGTGCATATTCCAGGGTGTCTCACTTGCATGCGCAGCTACTTAGAAGCCAATTACCCGTTCAATCCGGTCCTCTTGACTGACCTCGACCTTGATGTCAGTTGTCACCACTATACCCTGGCCCTCCATCCAGGGATCCGTGATGGTCTTCTGCTCGTCAGGTACCACCTCGACACGAGCTTTAGTTGGGATGCCTGCTCCCAGTTCAAGGGCCGTCTCAGTATCGTCGGTCAGGCCACGAGAGTCACTTGTCATTGAGACCCCCGTCTTGCTTCGGCCCAACACCGTGCTTTGAAGCCTACTGATCCTTGCCATGCGATCTGACATCCAATTCGCGAACCTTCGGGGAACTGCAGCTGCGACAATGTGCTTGAAAAGTGTCAGATCAATTGGCATCACAGGCTAGAAAAGATCGGTGTTACTCACATGCATCGCTGGCAGGCAGGCAGCAATTAAGTAGATCGAAGGCTCGATCACAAGCCACATGATCATGACGTTCGTGTAGCTCGGCGCGATGTACTTGGCCGTGTGCTTTTCGTATACGGAGAGCCGGACCGCCGAGGCCACCAGCGCTGCGATACCGATTCCGAAGAGGAATGTTAGGGCCCATTTGCGCGTGTTGGTTGCCTTGAGGCGCCAGACCGTAGGAAGCGGCATGAGAACGAGGACAATATCAACGACGAGATTAAAAGGAGTCACGCTCCGGTAGAACTTGTCCACATCCCTAGTACATGTTAATTACCTGCTACAGACAGAGCCTGAACTGATGCGTTCTGGAACATTGCAAGACACAACAGACAGGGTACGTAAAATGAGAAGAATTGTGCTTACACACATGTGCCCTCCACGGATCGGTCCCAGAAATGATATACCGGTTGACATTGAAACACTGAGGTTATCCCGAACCCAGCCCATTGCAAGGTGACGAACGCTGTCACGGCCCAAATCGCGATTCTCAACTTCTTGTCGGAGAAGATGCGCAGGTAAAGGGCGAGGATGGAATATCGGGTAGCCGCATACGACGCGAGCAGGCACTGCAGCAGGGCGTATATGATCTTCAACAGGATCGCGTTCTCCTCCAGGTTCAGAATGATTCGGTCCTCGTTGCTCCAGGTCGTTTCCACGTGGACCATGCTCAACCCCAGCGCACATATGGGCATGAGCAGAAAGTAGCCCACGATGATCCAGAAGTCGTCCCACCAGAAGCGCAGCTTGGCGATGCCGAGTCTCGAGAAGGTCTTGGCGGCGACGATGACTGTGTCTATGACAATGGCTGCGATGGCGGCGCGGACCAGAGGCCTTGTGGCCTGCCACGACGTCTGGTCCGAGGCGAGAGGGCCTTGCTCTGCTGACATCTCGTTGGTCTTTTGCCGAAGGTCGGATCGCTCCTGTTCTTCTTGTTCGGTATTTGCAGTCAGTGAAGGCGGAGCCTCCGCCGGGTCCTGATGCTCAGATGCGTCTGCGAGGGGACAGTGGAAATTGCCGTGTGCTGATATGGCCCATAGCTGCACACAGTCGGGACGTCGAGAGACACGAAATCAGTCGGGATTCAAGCTCGTGGGCACTGTTCTTCTATGGGGCAGGACGGCCGTTTTGCCCAAACATCCTGGGTCCGGCGGCGAGTCAGTTCACCAACAGGGACGATCATTTCCTGGTACCACGTTGTTCTAATTCCGCAACAGGATCCGACAGGTCACAAACGTGACGACGAGCTTGTCGAGGCTTGTCCTGGGGTGAGCCGTGACGAGAATGAAGATCAGAACAAAGAACCCCGGGCCCCCTTGTCGCGAAGCCCAGCCCGTCTTGGAGCCGGAACTCAAATGCAAGGGCTTCAAACTTGCGAGCATGTGGAATATCTAGGGCACTGACCTCATCACAGCTTCCCGAAGGATGAGTGGGCACGACTCGAGGTTGTTGGATGGGGTCAGTTATAATGCTACCGTGGTATATTGTGGAATGCAACCTCGTGTATCCGTGCGGACGCTTCGGGGAACCATTGGTCGATCTCGCCACAGCCATGAGCGCGCACGGACGAGGAGTTCACGATTCATCGAATGGCCATTATGATTAGGGTTGCCGGGGACAATCAGACGTCGATATCTCTGATGGATGCTACGGCAGGCCTAGACGTGCCCGGTGTGGGCGGGTGTCACTTCCGCAACGCTTGACCATGCTAGGCAATCCTTCACCGAACAGAGACCATCGCGCTTCTGGAGATCGGCGGCTGTGAAATTCGAGGATGTCTGCGTGGGTGGGTGGGTGAGTGGGTCCTGTTGTCGTGAGCAAACCCCGAACTTCTAGAGAATCAGGGCAGCTGGGCAGCAAACCCACAGGGCGGAACGACCCGTCAAGTTTGACCCGTTTTCCCACGAGTGTTTTGGGACGGTCATCAAGGAACCCATCGGCGCAACATTTTGCCCATATCGTACTTATCAGATGATCTACATATAAAGCTGACCCGGCACATCTGTGTTGGGGTGCATGGTACATAGTTGGGACTACATCCAAAAAAAAAAAAAAAAAAAAAAAAAAAAAAACACACCGGTCCTGGGAAACAGTCATTTGCTATCCACTATTCCAGATGAAATCGTATGAGCTCCAGCTGTTATTGGCCTAGGTTCTCTGCTATACAACAAGGCCCCCGAAGTCTATCTCCCCGGGCCGTGCTATTCCCGAGAGGGGCAAGTGGTCGATATGCGACCCTGTTCTCTGGAACATGCTCTGCAAAATAATCGGCGTTTTGACACGACTTACTCAAGAAGCTATTGAACCACTAAATAATCTCAGGGTATACTGGTTGCATCTCAGCGGTTGCAGTCAAGCCACTTTAGGTTTGCAGCCAGGCAGCACATAGATACACTAGACCACTGAGGCGCTTGCGATCCACAGAGCAATAAAGCTCCACACTTCTCAGCGCCCGGGAGCCGACCGCCAGGGACTGGCAGCTCTGACTTTGGGTCTAGCCCTCGAAGCCTGCGCACGCGCTCAGGGGCTTGGCATCCGTGCAACAATATAAGAGTGTACTTTTCTGACGAAACGGACGAGATCCACAAGCACCAGCTCGCCATCATCTGTCGAGATTCTAGGAACACCAGGGATATGTAGATCGCACAACACAGACCACGCGCGGATTGTCTGAGAACATTATGGAATGCGCATGAAGCACATCCCACATAAAGTTTGCACAGACCGCGGCTAGCTGATCGATCCTACACTGACATTGGTGGTGCCCTAGCATCGAGGATCTCGCCCATGACGTTGCTTCCATGCTTTGCATAGTCGGCTACCCAGGAGCTGAGGAGCTGCAGATAGAGCACGCGCCCGCCAAGAAAGCAAAGCGAATTTCATCCGAACTATAGGAGCCTATGATTCTCTCTTGCTCACCGACCAGAGCATAAGCCTTTTCTGAGCAAACTTTACGGTGGCTGTGGCCCAAAAGCGAGATTGACTTCAGCTTGTGGTATCGGGCCGGGGAAGTTCTGAGCCAGACTTGTGTGGTTGCCTGCCCACACAGACTGAGCCTAGACAGCAGGAGTACTACAGCGCAACATCGTGGGTGGGTGATGGGGCCGAGATGTAAACAGGCTCATGGCACACAGGGATTTAGGGGCTCACTAATACAATTCCAAATGAGCTTGGCTTTAGGTCAAGCTCCCGAGACTATTCATGGTCAGTCGGGCTACGCCCTTGACTGGTGATTTTCGCCTGATTTGCGCGTCGGTTTGCTAGCCGCAACTCGAATGCGAAATATCGTGACACACTTGGGGCCGACTTTATCCGCCCACGAGGCCCAGAGTATGTGGGACGCATCACGACTGGGCTCCCTTTCTCATCGAGGGTCATTTGGAGGGAGCAAAGAAAAACAGAATAGCTCAACCCGGACAATGAACAGCGTCCTTGGAAATGGCCTTTCCACTCAAGGGAGAAGTATATCGTCGCAGACACGTGAGAAAGAGCATATGTATGAAGGGGCCTGGGGTCAGCTCTAATATCAGGAGCTCGAACTCGGGCCGCGCTGTTGCGATATTTAGAATTCATACTGATATGTCTTGCGTAGGGTAAAAGAACGTAGTTCCCGGAACGGACTTTGCCAGAGCCGCATGTTCACTGCTATCTTCTCGGCAAATGCGGAGTGACTTTAGCTAGTGACCTGTATGTGGGAAACAGGTACAACGAAAGATCATATGTATAAGGTCATTTCTAATCAAGTTTGGCCTATTCTAGATTACTCTACAAGTAAAGTAGCGAACATATCGGCTGGTCATGCGGCAGCCCCATTCCCGTCGGTCCCTTTCACTTCCTTCTCCAGCCGGTCCAGCATTTTAGCATGGATTTTGGCCCCTGTGCGGATTTACTAGTCAGCATGTAATGTTGTCAATTCGACCAATCATGATGGGCACCATGTTGGGAGCACTTCAAGTAGTGCAGACCGGAGTAAGGACCAATTTCCTGGTAGAGTCGCAGAGGGAATGGGCAGAGATACTCACATCCACCCTCATTCAGAGACTTCACAATTCCAATAAGAAGCCTGGAGCACTTGATCTCGCAAGTCTCCACAAGCTCAAGGCCGCCATCCTTCTCCTCAATGGTCCAAAACGTATGCATGACCACATTCATGGGGCTCTTCAAATGGCAAAAGGTTCCGAGCTCGAAGTCTGTGAACTCATAGGTCGACTCCACGTTTGAACTCCAGAGACCTTTCGGTAGGGTTTCGACGATGTCAGTGACGTTGTACAAGGTCGTCGGGCCCAGCGGTTTGATGCCCTCAGGCAGCTCCGGTTTGGGGACCTGGCCGAGATCCTCAAACTTTTGCATATGCGGGTCGCAGGAGAGAAAGAACTCGTGGTCCTGGAGCATCGCAATGCCCTGCTTCTGAGTGGCCCCATCGGGCAGCTTGGAGGCGTGCACAATCTTTGCGGAGGAATTGAGAACTGCCGGAGATTTCAGTGCCAAGCCACGCGTCGGTCCACATGTGACAGGTGGAGCCGTCCACAAGTGGGGGAACAAGGAGACCTACACGACATGCTTGCTGCTTGTAAGGGAGTGAGTGCTGACGTCTTCCGGGTCCAATACCGCTTTTACAACATAAAGAAGCTAGGTTCTGAGGACTCTGTGTTTGGTTCTGTCTCTCTGTTGATCCTGCGCGTACGTGGAGGAGGAGCCCTGACTAGCCACGATGCTGTGACGTCTCCTGTGTCATCCGTCCCCCTTGCCCCTGTCTATCATCCGAGCGCGGGTTATCCGGCTGACTACTCAACTCAAGGTTATCTCCGACGTCTTCGGTAGTTGAGCTGGCCATTGCTCCAGGACTCCACAATATTGAGCAGCTCCCTCAATTTGAGCTTTTCATAGGAGCAAGAGGTTGGTCTAATCCCGACCCGCGACCAGGCGGCAGCCCAGGCCTCACCGCAACATGCGCGCCGGTCCCGCCGACGCGACAAAGCCAGTAATCAGACAATAGAGAAGGAAGACCCTTCCGCAAATAAAATAATTGGATAGCCTGAGACTTATCCCATCAGCGCAGGATAATTAATTGTGAAGGGAATCTGTACCGGGTTGGTTTTATATGCTACTTTCAGTATCGTCCTGCTCCTGTTCAATTATTTGTACTATCCTACCGGCCGACTCTCAATTATTTTAGGGTCCAGTCTAGGTGCTTCGAGATTGACAGTTGGCAAAGCTCACAAAACGGACCAAGTTCTAAGCTGAAGATCTAGGTCACACAATAACAAGGACCGTGGCCCTGACTTGAATGCCTGTTGGGAGTGCTCGTAGAGCGATCCTTAATATATACTGAAGTTTTCTCGAAGATTAATTCCTGATTACCAATGACAGATGTAGCCCCTGAGCGGCATTCAACACACCCACATGGTAGACGCCTTGATCAGTAAACCAAGACACGATTACCTGTAGACCATAACGTATCGCAAAAGCAAACCCGCCAGTGCGTTGTCACTGGCTTACCTATATTTGCTTTTGCACGCACTGCTCCCAGGTAAATCGCCCTTGAGCTGGACTTGACATATACCACCCCACCGCCCTTTGATCAATCGGCAGGTACCTAGGTAGCTAGGGAAAATCTCATACATAATAGCAGGCTCTGTAATGAGGTCTCCTAGGACACGCTCAACAGGAAAGGTGGCGCGGGTGAGGAAGAGTAAGCGACGAAATATCATCCCTTGGTCGATGTACCCTGCATGTCTCTGAGATAGCTACTGCTCGATGAGATGGCTGGGCCCCCAGGCCGCCTTCATCAAGTGAAGCGACATTGGATCGAGATGCTCCATTTGGCCACACCAAGTATCAAGGGATGGCACATGCGGGAATGTGTTTCTTTCGTAAGTCACATTTCACCTCGTGAGACATGGCTTGAATTCCGTTGCTATTCCGTTGCTTGGGGTGTGTGCGTGGAGTGACTCTCCCTTCGTTGCTCCGGTGGCTTAACTGCAGGGGCATATAAGGAGTCAGACATGGCGTGTGTAGGGGTCAAGTTGACATGGCATACTAGTTTCCCAAAGAGGTTAACATTAAAATAAACCAGAGGATAAATCAGTAAGAGTGCTGGGATTTCCGTAGAATAACAATGCAGGGCGTAGTTCTGGAGTCCAAAGTCTTGTGCGTTTAAATTTGGGGTCCTCTTGCTTTTTATTCGGCTGAAATAGCGCTAACCCTTGTGGTGAAATGCCAAATCAAGTTGACATGACATCTCAGAATATCATGGAATGTTACCTCCACATGGCACGCAATCCCTTATATGATATGCTTGTCCCTGCAGCCGCGCCAGGTTGTGTGCTCCCACATGTTGTCCGTACCTCAGATTCAAGGTGTTATCCAGCAACACACAATGGGGGTTTCAATCCTCCAGGGGCAGGCTGGTTTGCGTCGTCGGTGGCTGGCCTTTGTCGCCGTTCTACTTCTTTTGTTGTGCTGGCTCAAAGTCACTTTTCACTATCTTGACCTCGATGTTGTGGAGAACAGCTCGTTTTCCCTCACGGATACATTGGCACATTACATACCCGGAAAAGGGAACTCTGAACACGCCGGTACTTCAGCAGTTCTTCCAGAGTACTCCATCAAACCCATCGTTTATGTGTTCCCCCAATTCCATCCGATTCCAGAAAACGACAAGTTCTGGGGTCAAAACTTCACAGAATGGGTCAACGTGCAGAAACTTAGCGTGAACTATTACGGAGTCGATACACCACGACCAACAGAGGAAGTCGGGTTCTACAACCTCTTAGACCTCTCGACTCGGAAAAGATGGACGGATACAATAAAAAAGAGCCAGTATGTATTATTTTCGTGCGACACGTACGACGAAATCTCTGCGAAATCAACTAAATCATCATCTTCCCAGGATCCATGGGATTGTCTACCATCATTACTGGTTCGGATACCCCGTGATGGACAGAGTATTGCAGGCCATGCTCAAGGACGGCCACCCAGACGTACCATTTATGCTAAACTGGGCTAACGAACCCTGGACGGTCCGCTGGGATGGTGCAGACCTTCCCAGCGGGACTCTGCTTCCTCAAAACTATGGCGGCATCGACAGCTGGAGAAAACACTATGACTGGATGCGGCCGTTTTTCATACACCGGAACTACATTCGAGTCAATGGCAAGGTCCAGATGATGGTCTACAACCCCGGTCATATCGGGGACATGGGGAAACGGATGTTCGGCGCGTGGCGCCTGTGGGCCTCACAGGATCCTGAAGTTGGCGGCATGGACGTTATCGAGACCCAGCTGGAAGGCGACAACCCCGATTCCCGCGGAGCGACCGACGCCATGAACGAGTTCGGCTTGAGGAGTGGTGGTTCGTGGGATGCTAGCTTGTGGCCTCAAAACTTCCGGCCTCACAGAATATTCTACCGAGGCGCTCTGGTTGCGTGGGACAACACGCCTCGTCACGCGACGGATGGTGGAGGCGCAGCTCTGGTATTTTCTCACCCCGAACTCTGGAAACGTAAGTTGCCCATAGAGACCCCAATTGAAGTTGCCTTTTTTCATTGAGAATCGTGACCTCACAAGACTCCAGGTAGCATGATTCAGATGATGCGTCGGATCAAGGGTGACCCAAATCCGCTCGGACAAGAGAACTTCTTCTTCATCAACGCATTCAACGAATGGGGAGAAGGTAACACACTAGAGCCCACAGTGCGATGGGGTGACGGCTTCCTCCAGGCCTTCAACGAGGCCAAGGAGTACGTGGACAAACACGTCCCCTGGGCGCCGCATCTGATGTTGGAGAGCAGCAAGACTGCCCACGAAGTCAACAACAACAGGAGTGAGGTCGATGTGTGCGTCATTATCCGCGACTTCCACACTCTCTATCCCTTTCAAGAGGCATGGACCCTGGCGCAGACAATTGAGTCCCTGCGGGAATTGAAGAACAAGAGGTGGCGGGGTGTTGTTGCTGGTGTGCACTCGAACGACGAGGCGCGAAAGATTGACATCACCTTGCTCGACATGCACGAACCACGAGTCGTCAACGCCCAAGTCCCTGCCGATATCCAGAATACGACTGAGGAGGCACCCGACGGTTCAGAAGTGACAGATTGGGTGATTGAGAACATTGATGCCATCAGCCCTGGCTGTGGCAGGGCAAAATACATGCTCATCACCAACGCCACCAACGTCTACGAGCCCGACGCATTTGATGGCATCGAAAAGGCCCAGGCCGACATTGTCGGCATGAATTTCGAGTCCTTGGAGTCGATGAGACTGGACGGCGCCGACCACTTGACCTGGGAAGAGCGTTGCGATCGGTTCGAAAATGGCATGTCGCGGAACTGCCGGGCCCTGACTGCCGACTCTGAGTTGCTCGACCTCGGCGCCGCCTTCATCAACATGCAGAGGTGGCGGCTGGAGCGCGTCGAGCTGGCACGATCCGTCAAGGAGTTTGGCCATTCTGGTATCCTGCGAGAGCTGACACGACGGCCGTTGCCATGGACATGGGCGCCACCAGCAGCCCGAGTGTCAGAGTCCTGCCATCTGCTGCATGCAGGGGCGATGACGACCTGTCTCCGATCGGGTCGCCTGTGGGTCGACTTACCTGACGTTGAGCCGTACGAGCCCGGCTGCATTAGCGGTGCTGCTCTGCAGGATAAGTACCCAGGGCATAAGATTCCGGATCAGTGGGACTACTCCAGGTTTGACCAACATCCGTTTTGCGTGCGCTTGTCGCGTGCGTTCTACGAAGATGCCACGGGGAAGAGTACACAGCAACCAGAACCGGTCGAGTAATCATGACTGAGCCTGAGGGACATTGGTTGAGTGCAAATTAGATTGATTTGATGGCACACGTACATAATTGATTGGTTAATTGATTCATTCGCTCTCGGCTACAGCCTCACTCTTCAAGTTGTAGACATGCCCACGGTTACAAGATGCCTCGTCTACAGGTTTTGGTGAGTCTGGCCCAAGGTAGGTAAGCACTGCGTCTGGCGGCTGCCTTTACTTTGTGCCCTTATTACTGACCCCTGACACATTGTATGGCCTTGCTAAGTAGTCATTCTACCTTAGTTGCACACATTTCTGCGGAGTAAAGCGCCCGCTAAGCACCGGCAATCAATGAGAATGCTTGCTTCGTCAGCACTTTTGTAAAACTGCAGAGGCCTTAGAAATCCAATTGAGTGGCAGGGTAACTAGCAACCCCTGCGCCTTTCCGGCCTTCGCTCTTCGCGCCCTTCTCCAACGTACCAAGGTAGCCGGAATGACGGAGTAGAAATGGCAGGCACCCGGCTAATCACAACATGGGGCCGGTCCCTTCCAACGTCACGACTCGGAAGTGGCATCACACACCGCTCATGCAACACGCCGAACAAACGGAAAGCCATGCCTCGTCCTCGGAGACCTTGACCGGCAACCCTCCCTTTACTTCTTCGAACCTAGAGCTGTAGCTAGGGCAGAGCTTCAGCTATGGATGACGAGAAGACCAGTGTGCCCGCCGCCGATAAGAGCGATCATGATGCCTTGGCCAGCTTGCAACGGAGAGAAGAAGGAGCCGAGCTTGATGTCGAGGCTAACAGCGTGAGGACGGACCGAACTCAGCGCGACGGAGGCGATCTGGAGAATCAGGATGGCATGGGCCCTCAGCGCTCCAACACGACGGGAGGATCTATGTGGTCCTCTGAGCAGATGTCCTTGCCCCAGGAGATCCTCTTCGTCGCAACCGTCTGTTTGACCCAGTTCTGCAACCGTGCGTCTCCCATGAACCAGCTGCAATTCCTAAAGAATCCTCCTTGTTGTCATCTCCTCTTCCTGGAAAGTGGCTGATGCCGTCTCCGCCTTGAAATAAACATGGATGCCCCGGGCCGTAATGAGCCAACAAAATACTGACGACATGTGCTCCAGAGGCCTCATTCTGCGCAATGCTTTTCCTCCTCGATACCGTAGGCGACAGCCTAGGAGTCACCAACCCGGCCCTTCTGAGCTGGCTGGTCGCAGGATTCAGTCTCACCGCGGGCACGTTCCTGATCTTCTCGGGACGGCTGGGCGACGCTTTCGGCTACAAGCTGATGCTGATGATCGGCTTCTCTTGGTTCTCCCTGTGGTCTGTCGTCGCCGGCGTTGCCGTCTACTCTGGGTACACGCTCTTCGTCTTCGCCCGAGTCTTCCAAGGCATCGGCTCCGCGATCTGCATTCCGAACGCGCTGGCGATTCTCGGCGCGGCATATCCCCCTGGCCACCGCAAGGCCATGGTCTTCGCCTTGTTCGGGGCGAGCGCGCCGGTCGGCGCGATGACGGGTGGGATAACGGGAACCGCGCTTGACTTACTCTGGTGGCCTTGGAACTTCCATGCTCTGGCCATCGTTCTCGCCTTGCTGACCGCCCTTACCTACTTCGTTGTCCCATCGCCGCGCCCGCCCAGATTGTCGGGAAAGGTCTCCTTGCGTCGCCTGAATAATGAGCTGGACCTGGTAAGCAGTTCTTGTGTTGACTGCACTACGTTAGGGGCATGCAGAGCAATGTATCACTTCCTGGAGTTGCTGACCTAGTGATGGACAGGTTGGGGCCTTAGCTGGAGTCTCGGCCCTGATACTATTCAACTTCGCATGGAACCAAGCACCAATTGTCGGTTGGAAGTCGGCACAGGTCACCGTAACCCTTGTTGCAGGTGTAGTGGTGTTCTTCACATTCACATGGACCGAGTATCGCTACGCCGTCAACCCTCTCCTACCCCTCGACGCTTTCAACGCCGATGCGGGATTCGTCCTCAGTGCACTCGCCTGCGGATGGGCCATGTTCGGCGTGTTCTCCCTTTACGCTGTTCTGGTCTTTGAGAACATACGAGGTTTATCTCCACTGCACACCGCATTCTGGATGATGCCAGTCCTCGTCACCGGCCTCATTGCGTCTGTGCTCACGGGCTTTCTGCTTGGGCCAGCAAAGTTCACACCACCTGCGGTGATGACCATTGCCTTGATAGCGTTCACGACGGGGCTTACCATCTTGGCGACAGCACCAGTGGACCAGATCTACTGGGCACAGACATTTGTGTCGATTGTGATTGTATGCAAGCTTGCTCCCGTCATCATGTTTACCCGAATCTCGTGAATTCTCCCCTGCGTATTTCGGGCCTGCTGACATTGGAAATGAACAGATTCCATTCGGTATGGATATGAGCTTCCCGGCGGCTACCCTTATCCTCTCCAACGCGGTCAAGAAAGAACATCAAGGGATCGCAGCAAGCCTGGTAGCAACGGTCGTCAACTATAGTATCTCTCTGGGTGTTGGATTTGCTGGGACAGTGGAAGTTCATATCAACAACGGTGGAAAGACAAAGGCAGATCTGCTGAAGGGCTACAAGGGCGCATTATACCTTGGAGTTGGGCTCGCTGGCCTTGGTTTGGTTATATGCCTCGTGTTCCTGGCTAGAGATAAGTGGAGAAACTCGCAAAAGGCCAGGGGCGACAAGGCAACGCCTTCAGCCTCGCCTGGGCCTGAAGCACAAGCCTTTGCTTAGTTGCTGGGCCGCAGTCAGAATGCGTGGCATGTAAAGTTGACTAAATTGTCTGTCTGAGAATATCCATTTCTAAACTGTTCAAATCGAATGGGAACAAGTTCAACCCTAAGGCCCGAGTAATATCAAGCTTAACTAGTGGTGCAATTTCACTCCACACAACATGCCGATTTCAAATCCCCCATGACTCACTATAACGTGTTTGCTGCTAGTATCTTGGAATTCCCTGCTGAGTCTGATTATTGTCCACCAGGAGGAAGAGTCAATGAGCTAGCTGGGCGGGGTGGTCTCTGTCGATCTTGTGCCGAGGCATTGCCCAGCGCCGTCCTAGCTGGAACCCGAATCTCCGCACCCGCCGGCCATTAATCCCGGTACTCCCGCCGGTGTTCGGACATGGCATTGTCTTTTCGGACACTCTGTTACCTGAGGAAGTCGTGACGTGACAACAAAAGAGCAGAGCACGCGGCAGCAAGTATGACGCTCTGGAAGTCTCCGCATCCTGACATTGAGAGTGAGTGACCGTGACTCAGACACAGATTCTGCCGAGGTGGACCAGACTGACTGACGCATTGAGTGTCGTAGTTCCGATCAATGTGACAACTTGGGAATGGCTGTTCGAATCTGAGGAATATGTTCCCTTTCGAAATGCTTCCAAGGCCGCCATTGGTGCATACAACAATGCGGTGACCAAGGAACGTCTGGACTTTGTTCAAGTCAAGGCAAAAGCCACCACTCTGAGCACGGTTCTCGTGGAGCACTACGGCCTTCGAGCTGGGCAGACTGTCTCGATCTTCAGTACCAATACTGTGTGGTATGCTGTCGCATTATGGGCAACTATACGAGTCGGTGGGTGAGCTCGGAACCACAGAGGCGAGGTTCTTGGATATTAACACTTAAACAGGGGGCAGGATAAATGGCGCTTCACCTGCCTATGATGTGGAAGAAATGACACATGCCCTGAGGACGGCCGATACTAAGATCCTCGTGACATTGCCTGGGTCTATCGAGGCAGCTGTCGCCGCGGCCAAGGAGGCCGGCATTCCCAAGCCACACATCCTGCTGCTTGAAGGCAAAGCACCGGGATTCAAGAGCATACAAGACCTGATCGAACAAGGCCGCTCCTTGCCACCCACAGGTGTATACCATGTACCACATGGCAAGACGAACAAAGAAATCTGCGGCTATCTCAACTTCAGCTCCGGGACAACGGGCTACCCCAAGGCCGTCATGCTGTCCCACCACAACATCATCGCGCAGTGCCTCCAGCTGAGACAGCTCCAGCTCCTCCCCGCGGACGGGCAGTACCGGACCATCGCGGTGATGCCGCTCTTCCACATCACCGGCCTGGTGCGCTTCATCACGTACCCGGTCTTCATGAACGGCGAGTGCTTCATGCTCCCGCAGTTCAGGATGGAGACCATGCTCGAGACCATCATCGCCCACCGCATAGAGGAGCTGATCTTCGTGCCGCCCATCCTGATCCGCATTGTGCGCGACCCCGCGGTTGAAGCTTACCTGCCACAGCTGCGCGCCGTCGTCAGGAGGTTCTCGTCCGGGTCGGCGCCAATGAGCCCCGAGATCCTGCGCCTGCTCGAGGCCAGGTTCCCCGGGACCGGGTTCCGGCAGGGTTACGGGGCCACCGAGTCCACGGCGTGCGTCTCGTCGCACCCGCCCTCGCACTTCGCGTACCGGTACGCGCACACGGGCGGGAAGCTCGTCGCCAACACCGTGGCCAAGGTGGTCGACCTGTCTGATGCGTCGAGGCTGCTTGGCCCGGGCCAGACGGGCGAGATCTGCGCGCGGGGCCCGCAGATTGCCATGGGGTACCTTGGGAACCCGGAGGCCACGGCGGAGTCGTTTGATGAGGAAGGATATCTGCATACGGGCGATGTTGGGCACATAGACGCGGAAGGCTTGTTGCATATCGAAGATCGTATAAAGGAGATGATTAAAGTCAAGGGGATACAGGTGGCCCCGGCGGAGTTAGAAGACGTCTTGATGGGGCATGAGCTGGTTGAGGACTGCGCAGTCTTGGGCATTCGGGACGAGTACGCCGGTGAGAGGCCGAAGGCATATGTCGTAGTCAAGAAGCGGGTGGGTCCGAGTGAGGAGATGGGCAGGGCCTTGTTGAGGTATGTGAGAGAGCGGAAGGTCCGGTACAAGTGGCTGGCTGAGGTTGAGTTCGCCGAGAGCATCCCCAAAGGGCCCACGGGGAAGCTGTTAAGAAGGTTGCTCAAAGCAAGCGACCAGAAGACTGGCAGGACGAAAGGATTATGTGTGAGAGACGACACTGACAGAGCGAAACTGTAGAGTCTGAGAAAGGAGATATCGTACATAAACACAGGGAGAAAAGGGAGATGGTATCTAGTCTCTAACCCCAGAAACACAACCTGCGCTATGCTTTACACGTTCCATACCCTCCCTAAGCAAGCAGAATATCATAACCATCCCTGTTGATCCGAACGGCGTCCCCGCCCATTCCATATTTGCGCCTTACCAACTCGAAGATGACCAGCCCTGCACTTGTAGAGGGCACCTGGCGCAGCGCGTTCCACCAGAACCCCCGGAACAACCAACGCCTCAGGGCATTGGGGCCGTTGCCCTCCTGTGACTTGCTTTCTTCGACGCACTTGGCCCAAGTTTCTTTGTAGGCATGATAATATGCCCTGAACATCTTCCAGCGCCACTTCTCCCCTGGCGCTTTCGCGTCCTGATACTTGCGGATCTTGCGTGACTGGGCGTCGAGATACTCGAGGTGTTCCCAATGCTCCATTTGAACATGCGCAAGTGGGTGGATGATTACTTGCTGGGCGATAGACGCCCCCATTCCGGCAAGCATGAGGAATGCGGGTTCGATGGCGTAGTGTGGCTGGATAGTCTTCAGCCGCTGGTCGTCCTTGCCGTCGGTTGGCCGTCTCCTGGAGAGGACGTTCACTACATCCTCACTGAGCTGACCGTAGTACCAGGCCACGAAGGAGTAGTACGACTGCGCCTTGATGTACTCAAAGGTGCTGAAGAAAACCGCACTCCCCAGGCTGTCCTTGGCGAAAGAGAGCCCCCATCCGGCGAAGATACCTCGCAGCCCAATCTCCCGAAGCTTGGCGTAGCTGAAAGACCACATGCTCTGCGGTCGACCGTTGGCGTCGCTGATAATCTCAGGCCCCTTGCCACCACGCTCGAATCGTGCCTGAATCGCGTCCAGGGGCGCAGCAGCGACGCTCTGGATGGACCCGGCGAGGAGGCCTGCGGTGAAGGTGTCGCCGGGCGACGGGGGAGGATAGACCCTCTTGGTGGCCCTGCTGCTTTCCTCGTGAAGGCGGCCGAGGATCTGCAGGTAGCTCGTGTAGAGCACGGCGCCGACGCCGACATTGGCAATCAGGGGAGGGAGGACCTGATCAGGAATGATCCGCCATCCATAGTGCTTGACAGCGGTGGCAAGAATTCCCGGAGTAGTACGCGAGCCAACGGAGCGCAGCCATTGCCACCAGGTCTGCCGGTAGGACTCTTGGGCGGTGGACAGGCTGGCCAGCAGGTAGTTGTGTGTCTGCTGCTGCTGCAGGTTGCGCGCGTACGCTAGGTAGTCGACGCGCGTGCGGAAAAAGGCCTTGACTGGGGCCCTGAAGTAGAACGCGATGGCCTGGGCCGTAAATGCGCGGACTCCTGCGGCTGTGGCGGCGGTTGCGGCGTTGGTGCGCGGATTCCTGTCCGAGTCGGGAGCGACGACGGGCAGCACGCCGAAGTTGAAGGGCAAGCTTGGGTCACCGGCGCCGCGGCCGGGATCGGTGGGGTTCATTATCGATCAGGCATCGCATTTGATGTCTGAAGATGCCGAGAGGATGTCTGGCCTGGCCTGGCCCGCGTGTGATGAGGCAAGCGAATGCTGTTGCGTTGACAAGAAATGATGGTTGAGATCGGCAATGGGATTGAGTGCTTTTGGAGGCCGTTGTCCCCTGTCAGCCGGCCAAAGCCGGTTTGCAGCTGGGCCAGCGGAGGCCTGAGGTCAGTGCCAGCTGGCCAAAACTTGGTAGTCTTCAGCCACCTGGCAGATGACTCGGGCTGTTTCTCTCCCGGTCTACCAACCCAAACTGATCAGCGCTGACAGTGCAACAGTGCAACTGGCACAAAGCGTGGATGCAAGCTGGTGGGCGATCCAATTAAGTTGTCACCAAAATGGCTTATTACTTCCATGCTTGTTCTAAATTCATGGACGAAAACCCTCCTGGTTCTGGTGGGACCCTGGCTAAAGTGCTCTCCCTTCCCCCTCGGTTCATTCAGGCTTCCAGCAAGCCCAAACGCTCCCTTAGATGCCCCTCGACCCCAAACTTGCTCTCCCGAACACGCGGGGTAGTGCCTGTGTCTCATGAATGGCAGAATCATCTTGTTCGCCAATGAAGTAGTCCACAAAGTAGTGCATTGCATTGGAGTTCCGGCCGAGGTATCTCCTAGGTCGCCTACCAGACGGCTGAGATGCACAAGCAGCTCGCTTGGAGATTGGGCCTTTCGTAGCTTCGAATGCAGACTTGTTCGTCAGGTGCGGCTGAAAGCTGAAACCCGAGGGTTTTCAATGGGAAGTAATGTGAGCTCTGACGTATACAAGACACCAGACTACTTGAGCAAGTTAGGGATGAATTTTGCTGGTATTATCATGTATCAGCCGTTGTGGGTCGCTAACCCACAAGTCTATTTAGACTCCTCCTTTGCCTTCTTCAGAATGCCTTCGGCCTTGTCAGACTTGTTCTCAAGCACCTTCCTGAGCTCCTGCAGCGTCTCCTTGACCAGCTTCTCGCTCTCGTCGGTGTGCTTCTCTGCAACCTCCTTTAGCTGCTGAAGTTTGGACAGGACCTCGCTGCCGTTGGGAATCTGGCCGATGTACTGCTCCAGACCGGCACCGCCAGTAAGCTGCGACCCCTTGGACTTGGACTTCTCCACTGCGTCATTAACATAGCCTTCGAGGTCGCCTGTCTTGCCCGACTCGACCGCCTTCTTGGCCCGCTCAAACAGCTCCTTCGTGTTGCCCTGCTTCAGGGCATCGGCGTTCTTCTCGACCAGCTCCTTCACCTGCGGATTCTTGTCCAGGTAAGGCTTGGCCTGCTCCAGGCCCTTCTTCCAGGCTTCATCTCCCAGCTTCTGCACCTCCTTGACCTTGTCCTCAACAAGCTTGCGGGCCTTATCCAGGTTGGACGCCGTGAGGCCGCCAGCCGCGATGTCCCGGACCTGCTTCCAAGTCTTGTTGACCTCATTCTTTGCCTCTGGGCCGTACTGCTCGCCCATCTGCTTCAGCTGGTCAATGCTCCCGCCAAATTTGTCCTTCAGCTGCGGGTGATTGTCCAGGACATCACCGAGCGCGTCCGTTGAGAGGTCAGCAAGCTTGACAGCGAGGTCGGCCAATGCGTCGTACACCCGACGGAGGCTCTCCATGCTAAGACCTGCCTTGGATATCTCCTGGAAGTGCTTGTAAGCATCGTTCAGGATGCGGTCTGCGTCCTCCTTGTTGTTCTTCCTAACTTTCTCAAGGTCGTCAAATGCGGTGTCGACGTACTGGCGCCCGCCAGGGATCCAGGTGACGTAGGAGCAGCAAAAGTCCTTGATGTAGTTCACTGTCTGGTCGGCATCGGGAGTGTTCTGCTGGAGCTTTTTTGCGGCCTCGTTATACGCTTTCTTTGTTTCCTTGGACGCCCTGTTGACTTGCATGGCTACCTTGCCAGTGGGACTGAAATAGTACGCGCCATAGAGGAGCCCTCCAGCTGCGAGGCCACCAGCAACACCAGCGGCGAAGGGGGATGTACCGGCTTGAGCATTGCCGGTGCCAGACGAGGATGCGGTCGTGGACTGGAGTCGGACTTGGTTGGCGCGTGGGGCCTTGACGGAGCGCGCAGCCCGTGGCAGCGACCGCGCAACAGTTCTTGAGGGAATCATCTCTGTGGTGTTTGGTGTTGAAGGCTTCTTTCTTGCGAAGTTTCGGTGATTATGTATGCGATGCTGGTGTACTGGGCGCTCGTAGTTCGGGGGGAGCTGGAAGTGGCCTTGGATGTGAGTCTGGAGAGGCGTTGTTGGGAGATCAACAATCCTTTTTCAATGAGATGGCTCAGACATAAATTAGCTTCAACGCGATGACGCTGGTTGACGCAGGTACAGTGACGAGCTTCAGCTTCCAAGGCCTAGATGCTGCAGCCCAAGCCTGCAGTGCGGAGCTGATCGTCCGCTGGCGCACAAGACGCCAAATTCGAGCATTCCTGCGTCGTGATGACGTAGAGATGGCCATGGACAGACATCGACTTCTGCCCTTCCCTTGCAGATTCACAACTGACAAGAGACGTTTGAATCATTGTGGAGCTCCAGGAATTGATACCCGGAGCTTTTCTCATGTCCTGACTAACAACACAGATATCCAGCCCAACAACCTCATGTGGTCCCTTTTTAATAAAAGCATCCTCGGGGGACTGCGGGAATCAGAACAAAAGTGTCCTTCACCTCGCAACATTCTCAAGGACAGGAGCATATTCCTGTCCACGTATCTTGAGCCGTCAGACGGTGAGCTCAGGCTATGTGACTTTGGTGAGGCTCGAGTCGAGGGCGACCGTGACAGTCTCATCATGCTGGACGCCTTTCGTGCACCAGAAGTTGTGATGAATCTGGCTTGGGAATACTCTGTGGATATGTGGGGCCTGGTCCAAACGGTGAGCAAACCATCCTTGCATTCTTAATCGCTGGCTAATTAGGTCAGGCGTGGTTACTACTCGGAGGAACTCCGATGTTCGAGTGCCAGTGTGAGGATGAAGAAGGCCATTACAGTGTAGAAGTCCAATTCGCCAGCATGGTAGCTGCACTTGGTCCTGCCCCTTTGGATATGATTAGGGACGACAGAGAAGACTATCTCGAGATCTGGGATGAGAACGGTAGGAATGATCAAATCGCTCAACTCCTGGGGCCAGGAGGATTGAGGAAGGGCCACCGACCGAAAACAGGTAGTTGGATATCAGAGTTGCCAATACCTAAGACTGCAATTTTCGAAGACAAAGTCAAGCACTTGCAGAGGCGTCAGAAAGCTGAGTTCATCGCCTTTCTGAAAAGGGTCGTGCGTTGGGACCCAGAGGAACGACCGACCGTCAAAGAGATGTTGGGTGACCCTTGGCTACATCCCGATGAAGACGATTCAGCCTGCAATCACATTTAAAGTAGCATATGTAATGAAAAAAAATGCACTATTCGTGACTCTATCTCAGACTCCTGAGAGGCCGAGTCCTCCCACGTTGTCCTTAAGCTGCGCTCCGATAATGGTCTCCGGTGTCTATGCTGGTACAATTGCAATTCACAGTATTTCTAGCATAATAAACATTCTAGTTTTCATAGCAAGTCTCTTATACTTTATTTTTCAGGTGTGGGTGCACACGCGTATATGATAGACCGTAGGTAGGCTTGTTGATTTAAGGCTCACTTGAGTGCATGGTCTATATAATTTTCACACCAGTCTAACTTCCCTCTCAACTGTAAAACACCGGAGAAACTGAATCTCATGGAAGCCATCTTTAGAGAACAGATTGATAATGCCAACTCGGCTTGCAGTGTTCCCTTCCAATACCTTAATGACAAGCAGTCGTACATTACGCAGGTCTGGAAAGCAGCGAAGCAGCAAGAGACTCCATCCCGACGCAGTTATATCGTCGTAAAATTTCCTTTCGTGGACAAGCAGGCGAAGCCTACGAGAAGCCCACGATGGAGCGTCTATTAGTAAATCCCCCTGGGGATACCGTTCGCCCGAATTGGTTTCATTGCAGTCATCCTCGATGAGGCTTATCCTAAAATCTTTGCTCATTCCATGCGCGTCATGGCAGAAATCTCCCCGAAATCTCGAACACACCGTAATATTATGTTGATTAGTGTTCTCGACTTCAGAGAGAAGATCGATGGCGTGAGACGGCACAAAGCGCGGCTTAAAAAGCAAGGCCATCGGTTGTGGCAGACTCATCGTTGTCGCTTTCCTGGACTTGTTTGCATACTCGACAAGCCCGATCACCTGATTACTACCGTCGGAGGCGAACTCGATTTGTATGTCTCGTAGTCGGGCATCGTGCTTGCTGAAACCGGTTTCCGGCCCTTTTCCAGACGGCCTATGAGTCTTGGGAGAAGGCCTAGGGTTAGAATGACGAATATGCCATAACTTGACATTGCCCCAACTCCAGGACGGGAATCTACCGTCGACAGCATATTGTTGGTCAGACCTGTCCATCCCATTGACTGAAAACCACGCAAGTCCAAAGAGAAAGAGGTCTCGGCCCAGTAGTCTCTGTTGGTACGCTTCAAGTTGTTGCCCACCAAGAAAGGAACACCGGCTACATTGTAGATAGGGAGATGGAGGTCTTGCATGGCGTTTGCCAACCCAAGAAAAGCGTTGAGGCCGTCGGAGAACAAGCGCCGCCTTGAAAGGTATGTCTCCTGGAAAGTCCAGCCTCGTTCGCACCACGCACCATATTGCCAGTGCGGCCCTGGCGCAGGGCAAAGACCGAAGGTGAGGGCATCGTCGAGAATGAAAGGATCTAGAACTTGACGTGCACATTTCGACACGCCAGGCAAGCCGTAGTGACAGTCATCTCCCGCGGCCGCCATGATGGTAACCTCAGCACATTGGTATATGCGGTCCATTTCTGTGTTTGTGCCTGTTTCTCCTTGCTATTGTTCTGGTCGATGCAATATTGATCAACCCACAGATAGCGCAGACCAAGACCCTTGGTTATTGATATTGCGTCTTCGATGGTCAACGGTAAGTTCGACAAGGAGTCTTTTGGGACATCATCGCCTTCTCGGTCCTGCTCCATCCTGTGCTCCGACGTCATTCCCCATCTATAGCTCAGCGCCGCAAAGCGAGGCCTGTGAAAGGGCCATGCTCCCACATTGATAAGCTTGCGGGCCATGCAATCGATCAACCTGGTCCTAGGCATCTGCAGACGGGTGCTCCTGGCTGCGACTCCCAGGATCTTGCTCTGCTACCAGCAGTCGTCGTACTTACTGATACAGCTTCCTCACGGGTTGCCTGTCTTGCTGTCCGTCAGCTATAGACAAGGGGGTCGCTCCTCCAACCGCTGGTGCTAAGTTGCTCCCGAAGTGAAGCACTAAAGAACATGTAGAAAGCGGCGTAATTATTCGGTCTATCACGTCCAAAACCTCCTACATTGGCTACCTGAGTAAGCCTCAATTCTCGGTATGATTACACCTTGGGCTGGCCGAAAGTACGAGTCCCTTGCTTCTCACAACTTGAACGCTATACCCATGATGTCTCCCCAGTGGTCAGGAGCGTCTCCCTCGGCGGCAGCTGTCTTGGCGCCCTCGTCAGCCAAAGTGTTCCACTCGCGCGGGATCTTCCAGAACTGGACCGCCAGGCCGCAGCCGCGAACCCTCTCGCACTCGCCCAGCAGCATCTCCCACAGGTCCTTGTTCTTGACCTCGCCGCCGCCGCCGCTTCCCTTCGGGCGGGTCCTCCAACCGTTGTCCACCCAGCCCCTGACCCACTGCGTCGCGCCGTCCACGACATATGACGAGTCGGTAGCGATGACGACCGTCTTGAAGCCTTCGCCGCGCCACCATCGGAAGCGGAGGGCCGCGAGCACGGCCCGCAGCTCAGCGCGGTTGCTCGTCTGGCTGCCTTCGTCTCCCCAGGGGCCGCGGTTCTCCAGGCGGCCCGAGACCACGTCCGGCTCCCCCTCGATGCTCTCCCCTTGGAAGAATGCCCAGCCAGCCCTCGGGTTAGGCTGTCCGTTGTCGAGGCATGCGCCGTCAGTCATGAGGAGGACCTTGGTGTTGTCGTTGGAGTGGGTGCGTCTGCGACGTTGGGGGGTTAGCAGACCGCCAGAGCAAAATGATATCAAGGAGCACCGCTCACCGAACTGCTTCGATGTGTCGGTGACGGTTGGGAAATTCTTCCAGCGGTGTCGTGTTGCTGTTGGACGGCACAAACTTGGACGGGAACACCTTGCCGGTGCCCCTCACCATCTCAGTCCCTGGCACCGACGGTTCGTCGGGCTCTTCGTCTTCGTCTTCCTCCTCATCCCAATCTTCATCGTCGTCGTCATCCAAGACGTCGTCCATAAAACTGTAGTCGGTGCAGCACCTCCCGCAAACGACCAGACCGTGGGGTCCACAGACAACGCGACCGTTGGGCAGCTTGCAGGGGCCTTCCTCGTCGTCACTGCTGCTGTAGCCAAGGGGGATCAATCCCTGGCCGAGGTAGTAGCCGCGAGGCATTGCAGTCGTTTATGGCGTGTCAGGGCTGTTGGCTATTTGTTTTGTTGTGGGTGGCTGATTGTGTTTGAGATGAGAAAAAAGAGATAAGAGGTCAGGGGTTGTTGGCAAAGGTCCTGGCTGCTGTTGTAGGTTGTTTAAATCTCCCATTACCCCCTTGTCACAAGAGGGGTTACAGCGATAAAGCTTCTGTCTTCAGTGTATCAGTTGAAGTTAAGTTTGACAGTATCTGTGTACACGGAAGCGGGTGAATAAAAAGGAGTGCGTTCCCCGCTTGCATTTATCTAGATCTTTCCCTCTCTCCTTACCTATTATCTCCCGTTTACAGGCCAGCCTATAAGCTATGCCTATACTATATTAAAGTTATTATTATAAGGATATTTTCTCTTATATTACTTTATTAAGCTTAATTAAGCTAAGTTTATTTATTTAAAGTATAGTTTTATAAGGCTTATAAGTTTGCTTAAGTTATATAAATTCCTTACTTATGCTTTTCTTTTCTTAAAAAATAAATAAATTTAATATTTTTAAGTAAGATAAAGGGATATTTATTTTATACCTTATTATAATTATCCTTATTAAAGAATATAAGTAAAACAAAATCCCCTTAGCTATTATAACTTATATTATTAACGTTATTTTATCTTTTTAATACTTATAAATAAATATATAAAATAATAAACTTAAATAATAATTTCTTTAAAATATATATATTTATATAAATATTAATTGCCTTTAATAAAGCAAGCCTTAAATATAATAATATTAAAAAAGCCTTTAATTATTCCTTTAATAATAAGTTTATATAAAAACTTTCTTTATTTTTAAATTTCTTATTATTAATAATATTAATTTTATTAAAAATATTATTTTTATATAATAAGGGTAAAGCCTTAACAACTTTTAAAGTTGCCTTTTTTTAACTTAAGTTAAAAAATTATTATTAACATACCTTTTAATATTAAGGTATAAAAGCAAGCTCTTTACCATTATAAGCTTTATTAAAATTAAAACAAGCTTAAGCTTTAATAAATAATTTCTTAATTATTACTATGCCTTTTTAAATACTTTTATATTATTACTTTAATTAATAATAAAAGATAAGGATAATTTATATAAATACTTAGCTATAATTTAAAAGTATAGCCAACTTTTTAATAAAGCTATTTTTCTTAAATTTATTAAGTAAATTTATAATAATTGCTTTAACTCTTATAACTTTATTCATTTAAGGTAAAGTAATAATATCCTTAAGTTTTATTAAATTACTTTTAAAAATAACAGCATTACCTTTATTACTAAGCATATATTTTTAAAAAAACTTTAAAACTTAAAGCATATTTATTAAAATCTTTACTTATTATTATATTATCTTTAATACTTTTTTTAATATAAAGCATAATAGCATTTTAATAATAATAAATTTTTAATTTTCTTAGCTTATTTAATAAGAAATTAAGCATTAATTTAATTATATTATTAATTATATACTTTATTACTTAACTTTTATTTTAATAAAACCCTTTAATTAAAAGGGCTAGCTAAACTTTTTCATAAAGATGAAATACTTAAATAAAATTATAATAAAAAGAATCGCCTTTATTACTAGCTATGCATTTAAATAAGATTAAAAAGTTTATAATAGCTTTAATTATTAAACTTATATTTAAATTACTTATAAACGCTTATATAAATGCATTTTATATAATAATAATTACTTAATTTATAAGTATTTAATGAAAGTAGTTAAGTTATCTTAATTCCTGCTTAAATTAATATTTATATTTATAATGAGCTTAAGCTATTGCTTAAGCTATAATGCATATCCATGCTAAGCCCATACTATACCCAACCCTCTTATATAATAAGGCATATATTTAAAAAATAAATTTAAAGTTAAGCCTTTTTAAGGCTTAACTTATTTCTTAAATATTATAATTTATAACTTTTTTAAAGTATCTTTTAATAAATATTTAAACCTAACTTATAATTTTAAATTATATTCTTTAAATTATATTAAGAAGAATACTTATATTATAATAATAAATAACCTTATACTTAAGATATTAACCTTTTTATAAAATATATAGCTAAGGACTCCTTAACTTACTTTAATATTAAGCTATAAAAATGCTTAAGAAGCGCCTCAGCCCCTTTAATTATTTATAATAATATTTTATTAATTTATAAAGCTTAAAATATATATAAACCCTTTTAATTTACCTTTAATTTAATATAAATTACTTTTAATTAAGCTTTTATTTAATAATAATTAAAATAGCTTTTTAACTTAAAAGATTATAATATAATATAAGCTATAAAGTAATATAAATTTTATTAAAACTTTTTAAAAATATTAAATCTTTTTATAAAGTTAGCTATTTATTAAAATATAATTATATATTATAATATTTTATAAATAAAATAGGCCTTAAAATAGCTTTAATATAAATAAATTCTTTAAATATTTAAAGCATTTTTATAAAAACTTATATTAATAAATAATTGCTTTAATTAAGCTTAAAATATTTTAAATATAAAATTATAATAGCTTTATTTAATTTTATATTTAATTTAAATAATTAATAATATAAGTTAAAAGTTTTAAGTAATTAAGTAAAATAAAGCTAAATTACTTTTATAATTAACTTTCTTTATAGCTTTATAATAAGGTTATTAAAATATTAATTTTATATATAAATTATAATAAAGTAATAAATATATATTATTAAATTGCTTATAAGTTAAAAGTATAAATTCTTAAGCGTTAATAATATGTAAGCTTACCTTTATACCTCTTAAAGGTTTTAACTTAAGAATAATAAGTAATAAATTAAAATATAATAATAATAAATATAGTTATAATAAGTATAATAAAGGGTTAAGGCGTTAAAAATAAAGGGCTATAAAGGTAATAAAATGCTTCTTTTTTTTAATTAGCTAGTAGCTAAGCTAAAATGCCTTAAGTTTTTAAATTTAAAAGGGAAGCTTAATAAAGATATAAAGTATATTTATATTATAGTTAATAAGAATACTTTATAATAAATTATAAACTCCTTTTTATAGCTATATTAACTTAAGTTTAAGTTATAAAGCTAGTTATATTTTATAAAGAGGACCTTATTAACCTTAAAAAAAAGATTAGCTTTTAAGTAAAGTTTTACTTAAAAGCATAAGCTTTTTTTATAAGCTTAATTTATATAAAAATAATATTAATAAGTATAAAATAAATTAAATAAGCCTTTTTTCTTAATTTTTATTATTATAAATTATAAGTATATTATTATTACTTAAATAAATAATAAATATAGCTATTATATTATTATAAGTAAATAATAAGCATAAAAAGTAAAATTAAAATAAATAGCTTTACTTATTTTAAGGAATTTAAGGATAATTATTAGCTTATTATAAAGTTAATATATTATATATATAATATAATTCTTTTTAATTATTAATATATAATAAATTTTTATTTTAACTTATATAGTTTTAAGTATAGCTTATTTCTTTTTGCTAAGCTTATCTTAATTATATTATTATAATATTTTATTAAACTTAGCTTATAATTATATAATAATTAATACGGCTTAAGGGATAATTATAAAGAAGGAAAGTTAGCAAGATATAAGTAGTTTAGCTTAATTAATTTTTAAAGTAACTATAAAAATATAAATAAATTGCTTATTTTATATTAAAATAATAAATATTATTTTAATAAAAATAAGCTTAAGTAAAGTTACTTAAATTCTTTAAGCTATAGCTTTTTAAAAAAGAAATAATAATAATATAAAGTAATATAAAGCTAAGCTCTTACTAAAGGAAATATAAAACTTTATTAGCTTTTTTAATAAGAAATAAGCTTTTATTTTTTTATTATATTAAAGTTAATTTAATTATTATATTTACTTATTATTAATAAAAAATAAATTTATATTAATATTATTATAAGGCTTATTATATAATATGCTTTAAAATTAATTATTTAAATTATAAAAATAAGTTATAAAACTTTATAATAAGGGCTAAATAAACGTTAGCTCCTTACTTATAATAGCCTTAATCCTTTTAATGCATAAGGTAAATAAAGAGTAATAATTTTATATAAATTATTATACCCTTAATAAAATAACTTAATAAAATTATTATTTTCTTTTCTTTATTAAGAAAATATTATGCTTTTTTTTAATGCTTAATAATTTATAAAGTTAAATATTTATATAGCGTTTTATTAAATATAAATAATAAAAGGGTAGGAATACTTAATAATATTTTAAATTTAATTTAAGTTATTTAAATAATTAATTTATTCCTTTCATTTATTTAATATACTTATTATATTTTAATAATATATTAACTTAATCTTAATTAATATTTTAAAACATTATATAATAATATATTTAAATAATATTGTTGGCTGGGTTAACGTACGTTGGTTGATAGCAGACTGGTTATATTTAAATCGGCTATATAGAAGGAAGGAGGGTTGCGGCCGTAGGCTGCAAAACCTCCCTTTGGCTATAAACTATCTGGGGGTGGTTACGTATTGCCACACGTAACCCTTGCCTACCGGTGCTTTAGTGCTAATTGCCTATAGTACCTATTGCCCATAGTGCTGCTATCCCCCTATAGCATGTCCATAACTATAAAGGCAATCTTTAATTAAGTAGTTAATATATACTTTTAAAAAGTATATAAGAAAAAGAAGTTAAATTAAACTTAAAGCTGCTAAGTTTAAATTTATTAATTAATTAAATTAATTAAAGGTATGCGCTTATTTAATTATATTAAATACCTATAAAAGGCAAGCATATAAAAAAGCCTAGGTCGTTATTAAGGGGTTAAAAGTTAATTATTTTATTAAAGTGCATAATTAATAAATAAAGGTTATTTTAATAATTATATATAGCAAATTATCTTAATTGCGTTAATTAATAAAGCATAAATTATTGCTTTTATTATATAAATATTTTATTTATAATATATTTTATAAACTTATGCTT